AACCTATTGACAACGCACCCAAAACGATAACGTGCCGCACCACGATGATGGTGTTTAGTGTAGGTGAAGCTATTTTATTTTCCCATCTAAACGCACACCCACACCTACCCATACCCCTCAGATTGTCCATGATCATTCCATGTCATGTAGTGCCAATGTTCGAACATCGTACTTTGTGAATGTGTCGAATAACTTAACCACTCAGCCATAGGGGTCATACTAAAGTCTTGAGGGTGTGGATGTGTGTGGGCAGAAGAGGAAGCAGACGCACATCCACACCCTTTTTACGTCGAACCTAATTATTTTGGCCATGTTCAGAGTTTCGGTAATGAATGCTAGATTCCTTTTAGTTCCCGCTTCATATCATATATAATTAGCCTGACTTTTTCTCTCTAACTACTTTAATATTTTTAATATTATTTTAGATTCGTATTTACATCCTTTTTAACATTTTAGGAAGAGTGCGCGCTAAAGCTATTTGTTCTGCACCGAATCGATATGTTTCAAATACTAACAATCAGATTAATTTGAAGGACCTACTCAAAGATGCAAACTGCATCCATTCTACGTCGATAGATGCGAAGTATTTTACTAATGTGGATTATGAACTGTTAAAAAAATGGTGGTCATGTCTATGCTCTGGAAATATTGGTCAATCTATTGGGTTAGATCACATATTCAATACATTAGTAGATCAAACGATTGATGCACAAACACTAATTAAAGAATTAATACAAAGTCACTCAATCAAAGTCTACATAATCGATAGTTTGAAAAGATATCATAGTTTAATGGATATTATTCACATTTTGCCATCATGCAATCAAATTGATTTCACGACAGTTCCACAACAACATCAAAAAATTACTGGAATATTTTCTAATGTAGTAGATACAATAACAAAATCAGTTTTATTAACAACGACGATTCATTCTATGTCATATGAAAGTCAACGTTATTTCGGTAATTTTATTAAGAAAAATGATTTACCTGTACCATTTGCATATTATATGTGGAATAACCAAACAAATTTTGTCGAATATAAAATCAACTTTAATTTATTGTCTGAAATAATGTGTCTCACAAGTGGTCAATATATTTTACAAGTTGGTAGTGAGTCAACGATTGGGATGGGCAAGACCAGCATGTTACAATTTATGTTTCCTGATAAACGTAGCGAAGCATTAAATACAGATGGAAATTCTACTCTTCGAAATGGATGTATCGATGTACTTTTTTCACCAGATGGAGCAGGTCAAAAAAGTGAATCTTATGTTATCTTTGATGCACATGGAACAATGAATATTTTCAATGAAGATATCATCACTTCTATTCAAACATATTGTTCACTTCAAATTCTTTATGTTACAGAAAAGGATCTTAATGGTGTATTTTTAAATTCTATGATGAATTACTCAGAATGCATAAAAACAAAACCTACTATTGTAGTCATTTTCGATTCTAACTATGATGATAAACGAATTGGTGCAGAACATATTATTAATGCTTTTCAATCACAATATCATCACTGGAAGAATGTGAGATGGACAACCGCGCCACCTTCTCAATTATGGTATCAGCGTGATCATAACAAAAAAAATAAAGATTTAACACGCTCACAACAGCTTCTTAAATCATTTAAAGAATTAAGAGAAAGTATAAACGCAGAAGTACAAAAGTATATTAAGTGTACATCAATATTTTCAATTCAGTCCTATTATCTTAGTGTTAAAATTTCAACAAATTCTAGTGCACCCGTTCATTATCATTTTGAAATTGAAGATCGTCTTAAACAACTATTCGGTGGTTTAAATGAAAAAACAGAAAATCTTCGTATTGCAACTCCAGTTAGTTACTTGGATTCTGCAATAAAACAATGTGAGAAAGAGTCGTCAAATAATTGGGACGCTCCTCAAAAAGAAATACAAACTCGAAAAGAAAATTTAATTCAAGAACGATCAAAAATTGTAACTATCAATCGTCATACTGGTTTTTTCGTTGATCTATTGACAAAATGTTCATATACGGAATTATTAATAACTGAAAAATTTTTGGAAAAATGGCGATCACAATTTGAATCGACATTACTTGAACAATTAAGCAAAGCAAAAATAGAAGCCTCAAAATTAAATTCACAAATGAAACAGATAGAAGAACATTTGTCAACTGAGAAGATAGAAATACAACAAGAACTATGTAATGTTAAAAACGAATTTGATCAACAACATAAACTCGCCAATGAAATTAATCAGAAACTAATGAATATTGATCTAACCATTGGTCTTTTTTGTGATGAAATAATGGCTTTATATGACCTTTCACCACATATGTTTAATTCTCCAAGTCTTATGCAGGATATTGCTAAAGCATTCGTCAATTTAATGCAGAAAGGTTTTGCAATTCATATACTTCGTGGCCGTCCATTACGCTGTCATAGTCGATTGATTGAAGAAAGTATAAAGTTCCTTTCACCAACAACACAAGAACCACCATTGGTTTTAACAGTTATTGGAGAGCAATCGTCGGCTAAATCATCATTAATGAATACAACATTTGGTTGTAATTTTCGTGTTAGTGCTGGACGTTGTACAATTGGAATGTATATGAGTGTTATTCGTTGGAAATCCAAAACAATCGTGATTTTTGATACAGAAGGACTTCTTTCATTAGAAGAAGCTGGTTCAATATTTGATAATCAGATGATTACAATGGCTGTACTTTCTTCACATCTTGTTTTAATTAATCATAAAGGTGAAGTTAGTTCGAATTTAAAAGATCTTATTGGTATGAGTTTTTACGCAAAACTAAATATCGATAGTCCAATAAAACCAAAATTATTATTTGTTTTAAGAGATCAAGCAGATCTTTCATCAAAAGAAACATTCTTTCGACAATTAACAAAATTAAAAGATCAATTACAAAATGATAGTAAATTTCTTAAAAGTTCAATTGATGATGAACTTGATATTAATATTGAAAATGTTTATTTACTACCAAATGCATTTTCGCATGACACTGATGCTATTTCAAATATACCACGACGTTGGAGAAATCAAACATTTCCACAAGAAATTATTAAACTTCGGCAAATAATATTTGACAATATCACAAGTACTACAAAACCACAAAGATTTCATCAATCAAACAGAATTTCATGTATCGAACCACAATCATCTACAATAGATGCAGCATATATAGATATGACACAATTATATACAAAAATTTCAAGTAATTGGGAAGCAATTGATCGCTTAGGTCCGAGATTGTTAGAATGTAAAACGCTCTATGAACTTTCAATACTGAAAGAACTTCAAACCATTGCTAATGATATAATTAAGACAACAAATACAACTGTCTTTCAACATGGTGAAAGCTTAATTGAAAGATTATTATTAGAATTTTCAAGAGATGGTTGTATCAATAAAGAACTTGATGGTATCAATAGTAAATTTAATCATCTATTAACTGGAACAATTATGCAGGCTGTCAATCAAGCACAAATGGATTTTAATAATAAAACAGAAAGAAGTTGTTATCTGACAGAAACAAAATTAAAAGTTAGTAGATATTTAGAACCGGCAATTCATTCTGCCCAACATTTGTTAAAAGAAACTTTTGAAACACGTATAATTGACTTATCAAAGAAGGCACAAGTGAATGATGCACAACAGCAATTATTAGAGTCAGTACAAATAGAATTCGATCAACATAAAAGCCTTGAAACAAAGGATTTGAAAGATCGTCTTGAAACGAAATTCCAGTCTATGATAGAACAACATCGCAAGAATCTTCAATCATCATCGAAAACAGAAAGTGATATTACACAGAATATTTTAAATTTCTACACCAGTTACCTGTCCTGTAAAGGACGAGAGGCAAATCATGGAAGTATTTACAAATTATTGTATTCTATAAATGATGAAGAAGCGTTTAAAACGCATTTCAAAAGAATTGAAAGTTGTTTATCAAGCTTTTCAGGACAAGCAACGCAACAGATTTCACACAAAGTTGATAGTTTTTGGAAACTTTTCATACCATGTGTTTCAGGACCATCAAATAGATATAACGATTCTGTATGGGAAAAGTTAAAAGATGACCTAAAATGGTTTACAGATAATACAAAAATTAACAAAAGTAAGGAAACCTTTCGACAGATATGGGGTAATGTTCTACCGGAATTTCGAGAAAATCTTTTAACATCAATCCAGGCCACACAATCTTTGTCATCAAATCCAACGACTGTTCAGCATCTTTTTCAATACATCGAAAATGCAATGAATTCTCCATGTATAACAAGAAAAAATTATATAGAGAAACATGTATTCTGCTCAGATCTAGCTGTAATTGGTCTTGATACCATAATTGTCGAAGCAATAGCAAAAGAAAAATCAGATTATGAATTAAATTTACAAAATTCAACAAATGAAATAAAAGAATGTAAAGATAATTTATATAAACAATGCATGGCAATGAAAGACTCCATTGAATTAGGACGAACACTTGCTGAAACAATCGGAAAACAGATTATCGAGGAAATCGGTCATCTTTTACAACGTAGAATTGACAAAGACATAAGAGAGGATATTATTAAAAGTCAATTTATTAATCATGAAGCTATACAAAAACAAGCTTATGAAGAGAGTATAAGTCAAGCAAATGGTGAGAATATTCTTAAATATATTTATGATATGAATCGATATTTCATTGAATTGAGTTTAAAAGAAATCAAAATAACTTTACATACTGTAACGCATCATCATACATTAAACTTTCAACATTTAATTATCAAAGCAATTAATACCGCAAATAAATGTGTTCAAGAAAACACATATAAAGACACTCTTGAATTAAGAGATGGAATACGAAATGCAATTCTTGATATACCTGAATTGAAATCGGCACAATCATTGGAAAGAGAATTATACTCGATGTTTGCATTGAATAATGTTATTCGCATGACAATTACAGATAAAAAACTATTTAAACAAGGCTTTGAAAATATTTGTACGTATTATAAAGATGTTGAAAAAACAATAAACGATTTAACAATAAATATCAAAACTGAAGCATTTAACAGTTGTAAGCAGAGCATTGCATCACGACTTGGTTGCCAAGCTCGATGTCCAGGATGTGGTACTAAATGTAGTAAAATAGAGCCTCACCATAAAGAAGACGTTGAAGTCTGGCAAAATCCTTGTGAAAAGTGTTCACCAAATGAATGCACGTGTACACATCCTAAACCAAGATATATTGAAACTCATGAGAGTACATATCACTTGGCCAGCGCATTTCATGGGTGGAGGTATCACAAACTACATACACCGTATCTTGAATTATGTTATCAGCGTTGGACAACAATAGGTGTTAGTGTAAGAAAACAACAGTCACCTAATTACTTGCAGAATGAAAAGAGCAACGAGACTGAAGATGAATATGAAGTTGTATTTCCAAAAGCTAAATACTATAATGAAAGATATCCAGCATGGTATAATAACTTAAAAAAACAATCAACAGAAGGTAATGCATGCAATGAGTCGATTCCACCACCTGATCAAAGACGTGCTTGGATGGTTGTTCGGCATGCAATTATTAAACGTCGTAACGGTGCTATGATTGATAACAAAGAATATGATGATAAGTTATATCCATTAAATGTCGAAACTTTACCAGCAGATTTCGAGCCAGTATGGAAAGACGAAAATTTTGAATAACGATATTTTATATTCACAAATGATTCATGATTAACCAATTGCATCCAAGACTTGTTCAAAAATACTTATTAGTTTTTTCGTATTTCATTCGTATTCGGGCATATTTTATTTCACTTTTTCTGTAGTTAGACGTTTTTGCACGAATAGTATAATCATGCGTTTTCTTTCTTAGAGTGATTGCACACAAATTTTATCATAACGAAGAATAAACTATTACTTTTAACTTCTTTATTTAATGGCGGAGGTACCACTGTAGTCGGCCGTTATAACCACAAATGTATCGACCATCTTGAGGGTGTGGGTGTGGGTGTGAGTGTGTGGGTGTGGGTGTGTGGATGTGGGTGTGGGTGTGTGGATGTGGGTGTGGTTGTGTGGATGTGGGTGTGAGCATGGGTATCGATGTGGATGTAGGTCGTTTCATTTCCATTATACCCACACCCACACCCTTCAATCTTATCCAACCGACTATGTGAAGTTACTCATCTTACAGAAATTTAAATGCCAATTTTTGAGGATGGGTGGGTATGGATATTATATTCGCATTACATTCACACCCAAAAGCAACCAAAGCATTGCTAATCGATTAACTGTACAATCAAATTTTTTACTTGTATATTCTGTATTCATTACTTTACAAAAATTAATTTTTTACTTCGCAAAATCTATTTATTTACTTAGCATTTTTCAATATTTTACCTAGAAAACTAAATGTTTTCACTGACAATTTATATAAGTTACTTAGCAAAAATAGAGGTTTTTACTTAGTTTTCATTGAAATTTACTTAGCACTTAAATAGGTGCCATTAGAAACTAACTGTTTCTCAAACCGTTGATATACAGTCTATAATATTCTCGGCGATATTCATCTTGAGGGTGGGTGTGAGTGTTGAAAGAATAGAGTACCCACACCCGCTACTCTTACTCATGTACAACTTAATTCTCACCCTCACCCTTCCAATGTTGTATCATAGAAATATTTACATTGTTAATCCAAAAATAAACTTTCAATATTTGATAAAACTAATAATTGTTGATAAATATTCAATTTGAAACAATAGAAATAGATCTTGCAATGGAATAGTAACAGTTCAGTCAATGAGAATAGACACTATCCTATTAGATGAGAGTAGAGAACAAGGGTAGACTTGAAAGTAGATACTTATATAGCCTGAAGAAAAATTTGAAACGCATCGCTTCAAATTTATTGTATTTAAAATAAAATTAAAACAAATAAATTCAAAAAATCTTTTTTTATTCTACTCGTTATTTTTATTTATTTCAATCCATTTATTCGCTCATTTTCTTCACTTAAATATTAAAAAAACATTAACAACTAAATAAAATTAAAAGTTACAAGAAATGCATTAGTTTTTTGTTGATTTTCTTTTACTTAGTCCTCACCCTCAAGATAAACAGCATAGCTTGTTTTTTTAGTAGAAGAATACAGTCTACGTGATTTTTTTTCGATTTACTGCGTGTTTGTGGTGTATAAAACAAGTAATAATTACTTAAAACGCATCACATAATTTTTTTTCTACTTTTGTTTTTTACAGGGTTTAGTATTTTGGCTATAACATTGTCATTACTCAATGAATTGGTTTATGTGTAAAAACAAAAACATGCATGCTTTTTACGGCCCTCACTGTATTTTCTTCTGTTTTTCAACAGTTACGTTAATTCATTTTGTTGAATACTTAGTGAAATATAGAAAATAATCTCATTCGACATTGAATATTTCTCTGAAAAGCAATATCGCTTAAATGATAGAAAATCATGAGATGTTGAGGGTGACGGTGAGAGTATTTGTTCCTTGTCTGACCTATACCCACACTCTAGAGTGATGTTCATCGATTATTTTCGAATTGATCGCATGCAGGTGGTGATCCATTTATATTCGAATTCGTATTAGGTAGCGTTTATCTGAGAGATCTGAAGAAATATTTTTATTTGTGAAAAATTTGTTATCAGTGTTAAAGAAATGTCTATCACTTGAACATGAAAGATTATTTAAAGGCGGAGAAGATTAACAATCTTCTTCCAGATGTCAAGAAAAAATCTGACAGAAAGCAGAGTTTGATGTTAATACTCATTTTAATTTTTATGTAGATGATGCACATTAGTAAATGAATCTGTCCAAAGAATGAAGATTCACATAGAAGTTATCTCATATTTTAAATTTCTTCTGTAATCAGTGATTTTCAAACAAATGATTCAATCATTCGTGAAAAGTTACATTACATCTCACTTTCTAAATACATATATTCAATGGCACGCTGCCTTTAACATTGACAAAAATAGAAGAGAAATAAAAGGAACCCGAAAACTCATCTAAATTGTTAACAAATGCTTTCGACATATGAGGTGTGTTGAAAACATCATTTTTCATCATCTACTGACGAAATTAATCTTCAAATTCCAATACGACACATGTTAAATGAATTGCTACAAAAAAGATTTCTCCACTTTCGATTTAGGAAAATTGTGATTTTAATTATTTGAATGGAATAAAAGAGATTCTTAATGTCATCTTTATATTAATAATGACGAACATAAGATTACACACCGTTACGTTGTTTTCTATTCGCATTAGTGTCTGTACGACAGTTATTTTAGGAAATAAGTTTACATCCGATAACTCACCTAAATTTGAATTCATTTTTGCACAAATCTGTCAGATTAACTTGAAGATTTTAGTTGACAAATTTTATAGACAGGAAAGCGGATGAAAAATGTTTTTCTTTCTCTCTCATAAAACATTTGTCATTTGTTATGAGATATTTCATTACTATTTAGTCATGTCTACAAACAACAGCTCTGATAATGATGCTGCCACGTTTGCCAACTCAGAAATTCCTCTACCGCGTGTGGTTCGTTTCTGGTTCCTGCTTCTATTCAATGTTCCATCGACCATTTGTTCTTTCTGCATCATTATTCACATTATCATCGATCGAGTTCGACGATATGCATTGCAAAATCATACAATTTTCCTTATACTTCTCATCAATCTTCCTATTCAACTGCTGGATATCAATTTTCATCTCAGTTTTTATCACTATGGTTCAGTTCATCCAGCGAACCCAATTGTTTGTCTCATTTGGTGGTTGGCTGATTTTGGTTGTTATAACGGAGGCCTCCTACTCATGACTTGGCTTGCCATTGAACGACACATGTTAATATTTCATGATCGATTGATGAGAACTCGAAGAAGTCGCTTTCTTTTCCATTATCTTCCTTTAATTATTCTACTGACATATATTGTTATCTTTTATATCACTGCTGTTTTCTTCATACCGTGTGAAAATGTCTATGAATACACAGTACCAGTGTGTGGTGACTATCCATGTTATCAATCCTATGGCATTTTTGGTATGTGGGATTTTATTGTTAATGACTGTGCATCTGTTATCGTGGAAGGTATTATTAGCATTGCCCTTATTCTACGTGTTCAATGGCAAAAACGACGTATTCATCAATCTCCTCAATGGCGTAAACAAAGACGAATGATTATTCAGTTATGTTTGGTATCTGGTTTTAGTGCGAGCGTCAATCTACCAACCTTTATTATTTATATTTCTCATGTATTTGGTCTACCACCAGATTATGGTGTTCAAGTTGATCTCTATTTTTACTTTTTGACTTACTTTGTCGTTTTCCTGTTTCCATTCGCATCTTTAAGTCAATATCCACAATTACGCAAACTGATTAAAACCAAAGTCTTCTGTATGTCACCAAGACAACTACCTCATGTAATTAATGGTGTACATGGAACAAGATTGATAGCAACAGGTGTGCGAGTTCAACACACAACAATTCATTGATATGCTTTAAATGTCTTATTTAATCTAAAAACTTTAAGTAGATGTTGTTCAAATTTGTATTGTCTCGTTCTATTCTGAAATAAAAGATTTTTTGTTTGCATGGAAACAGGATTTGTCAAAAGATAATCAGAACGTGTGGTATTCAGAACTTAATTTTATCTGATGGAATAAATGCTTCACAACTAAGTGTTCAAAAAAACAATTTTTTATGAGGAATAGATTGAATAATATGAAATATTGAAGTGTATCGATAGTAACTTGAAGGTTGTATTGAATTAAAAAACAGAAATGAGTAAGATTTCCTTAGCAGCATTAGAATGTTGCGTGTTTGTGATATTTTAGTTTTAGTAAGAATTCTTTGTTGATTTCATTTCTTTTATTTTGATTTGTACTATGAGGGTTAATTGTTTGTGAATGTTGCTGACCAGTTAGATGACCAATGGATTGACATAATGATAATAAAAAAGATATCTATGAATAAAAGGTGTATATATATGTATATATCAGTAAAAGGGGGGGGGAGCTGATTTGGATAATATTTCCTGTTTAGAGTTGATTTTCTAGGATCTTTATCTTATCTTAAGATTGGCAATCGCCATTATCATATTCTATCAGTAGAGAATCAGCAGCAGTGCGCTGTATTACTTGAGGGTGGGTGTGGGTGTGGGTGTGGGTTGAGAGAAGATAGATACCCACACCCTCAAGAAATAAAGTTTATTGAAGATGATTCGATGTCGTACTCTTTGTAATAAAAATTAAGTATGTATTAACTTTTCTGTTAATAATACAAATTAGAAAGAGTAATAACTCAATGTTCTACTCATTTATGATCATTTTCAAAAGTTTAAGATTAATGTTTGATTGAAAATTTTATACTGTTTTTCAATGTATTAAATTAAAATTAAATTATGCTGCTTATGAAAAATACTACAATCGAAAATATTTGCTACGTATTCTTTTATATATTGTTTCTTCCATTATTCCAAATGCTAAAATAAATTTGGAGTTGTATGGAACTTAATCAATTGCGTGTCTGATTATTTTCTGTCTTTTCTACTAAATAACTGTTTTTGTTTGTTTCAAGAGAAGATCGGCGAGAGCACCACTCAACGTTACTAGAAAGACTACCAAAATAATTTTTTCTTGAATTTATCATCAAGAATAACATAGATTTTCTTTTCTTTTAAAATATTCATTTGTTTGTTGCTAGAGTTATTCGATATTTTATTTTTTTTAAAACATTCTATTCAAATAAGATACAAAGATATTCATAAACAATCTCATTTCTCCATTTTTGCTGCATTGCTACAATTTAGATTCATTCCATACTCATAAGATAAGAAAATATCAACATCACAAACAATGCTTATTGGTGTTTCAAAACTGAAATAAAATAAATAAATTGCAGTTATTCACTTCTTATCAAAGTATATCTTTAAAATAATAGTAAAAAGAAAACAAAAGTATGGCGAGTATCGGTTTAACTCTAAATCATGGTCCCGAAAGACCGATGCTTATGCTTCAGGCTCATTAGCAGTGAGTTAAAGATTTGACTTAAAGTCGCGGCTCGTCTCTTCATATCATTTATCTGATTATATTTATTTTGTAGTTATATTCATAATGTGCAATTACAATCCATTCTCCTATTCTGCATCTATCGATGAGTCATCGCATATCGATAATGAATGGGTATAATAGCGACACTCACATCCATCGTTTATATGATACATTGTTAGCTTTAAAATTATACTCATCGACTCATTTTTTAGTGATCAGTTATGACAATACATTTTAACTATATGTATTTAAAAAAAATATCTTTTTGATTAAAAAAGTCACTCTGCTTGAATAAGTTTCTTATCTTATACAACTCTCTAATTTATCTATCTTCTCGATCTAATGATTCTTTTACGAGTTAAATGTTTATTGATCTATTGATATTTTCTATTATATGATAATTTTCAATGTTCGGTCAAAAAACACATTACAAGTGAAATTTTGTACTTCTAGCAAACTCTTGACGTGCTTCAATACTTGATTTTAATCGTGGGTGGGTGGGTGTGTAGTTGAGAGAATAAAATTCACTTGCCCATACCCATTCGCACCCACACCCACAGCCTAACGACATCTTTTTAAATGATAATTTACAGAGGTTAATATATATGCATATTAAATTACTCATTATATCTTCGTGTATTATTATTATTACACAATATTTCTTTCTACCATTATTATCTCTGAATTTCGTGATAAGGCAAAGTATTTTAGTGTTTACCTCGCGATATTATCACTGATTTTACTTTCTAGCATAGAAATGCTTGAAGCACTGCCAGATGAACTACTACTAATCATCCTCTCTAACCTTCATACAGTCGACTTGATCCATGGATTTTTTAACTTAAATCGACGGTTTCAACGCATTACTGAAAGGTGGAAGCACAGTTAGATCGTGTTTCACATTTTTAATCCCGTTAGGGATTGCGCTAACAGCTTTTTTAACTTAAATCGACGGTTTCAACGCATTATTGAATCATATTTGTGTGACATTGACCTAATAGGAAATAATAGACCCACCTATCGTCAATTCCAACTGCTTTGTCAGAATATATTTCCGTTACGTGCACATTCCGTTCGATCACTTAAACTCACTGGATCTCAACAACTTCAGTTATTTCAACCATACATTTGTCAATAGATTAACTTGAAACCATTGCTACTCGAAAATAATGGGGAGTATTTCTTCGATGAGCTAAATGAATTTGTCGTTGAAGCTTTATCAATACGAACTTTAACTGAACTTTCAATTTCTAGTGCAGAACGTGACACATTTTATAAAATTTCTTCTGGTTTTACATCATCTAACCTAAAAGATCTTACTTTAATTTACCGTAGTGGCCTGTCGTCTCTCCGTTAACTGTATGGATTTTCAAGCACTTGAAGAATTGTTCGAAGCAATGCCAAATGTTGAAGAATTGAATTTATCAATAGTAGAATGTTACCCTTTAGAAACAGTGAATATCTTAAACGTGCCAAAAACATTAGATAAGTTACATATTGAATGTGGGAAAATAGAATGTAGAGATCGCAGCACTGAAATAACTTTCGAAACAATACAAACATTATTAAAAGCGTTCGACAATCAACTTTTATCGTTAACTCTGATTATGATCAATTCTGCTAAAGACTTTTCCAATTTTGACAAAGTTCAAAGTCTCGTATCTGACTTTACTCGCCTCGAAAGTTTTCAGTATTTTATTAAAACGATTCACCAACCTAATTCACAATCTCATTTTCCCAACGTCAAAGTACTACCAGATTCTAGCTACTCCCTATTTACACTTCCAAAACTTCGACCATTTGACACTATATCTGAACGTTTCGACCTTGATTCACATCTCACTTTCGAAAGCTTGTATAAGTATCACACAATTCGCATTGGTAACAAAGAGCTATCGACTAGGTTCGAGTTACCTTCAGATCTAAAACTTGTGAATCTGCGAAAGATATATTTTGAACAGTCAATCGAAGATATGGAGCATGATGACATATATCAATTCGTACCGAAAATTATAGCTCAATCACCAAATTTAAATTGGTTGAGTTTAACCACGAAAACAAATGCAGAGAATATGATAGAAGAATTGAATAAAATGATTATGATACCAGTGAGAAAACGAATTCATTTTTTACATTGGAAAATCGATACGCAGCGCAATGACAGCTGTTACAATTCGATATTTCTGTTTGAACTATCAAAAATATTTCCAAATTTGAAGACACTGGAAATTGAAGGTAATCATCGAATATTTGGTAATTATTTCATGTCATTCAATGAGTCTCTACAATTTCTTCGAAATTCTTTTCTGGATCTATCACGGTTCAAAATGGTGATAAAATTATCAAACAATTTTTACTATAAAAGAAAAACGGAAGATGAACAATTGTTCAAAAGTTACAAGGAACAGTTGCCTGAAACAATGTACGCAGATGTCTCGTTCAATTATACTTTAGGTCGTCGTAGTGCGTTTTTCTGTTCCTTAAATATTTGGCTGTAACATTGATCTTCTCAATTTATAAATATCATTAGAAAAGAACAAATGAGAATATAAGAAGAACTTTTTGCTTTAATTTATTTACTCAAGCTATGTGGAAATTTTTTTAACATACACTCACTCAGTTTCACTATTTTATTTTCTATTTTGATGTAATTTTTTTCTATGTCAATTGATTTTCATAGCTCATGGTCATAAAGATATTAAAAATGAGAGTAGATTTCTAATTCTTGATTAATTGAAATATATCTTACTTATACTTGTGACGACGTTCATTTTAAAAGTGGTAACAATTTTAGATTTAGAACGTAATCGAAATACATCGTATGATACTTTAAATTTCATTCTCTATAAAAATTTCTCCCTGTCCTTATCCACGAACGATAGAATGATTTTTGTTCTTTCGCCTTATCTACGAGCAACGAAACAATCTCTCTCTGTCCTTGTATATGAGAAATAAAACAATATCAGTATATCTTTAACCATGAAAGCCATTTTTTTTTGTAGATTTCTTTTTCGTCAACGATCGACGTGTATATAAAGTCGAGGTAAGACCTTACCATTTACATACTTACTCATACACCAACGATTTTTCTTCCACGATCGACGTATATTACAACAACGCAGAAAATAAAATTTATATATATTTTCATCATTTTTTATCGCTGTATTATATATACTACAGGGTGGCGCAATTCAACGTTTCTGCTTCAAATGGCTCTCTTGATCATTTAATCAAAAAAAACTACGATTTCTCCATTCTCAACAGGACTTTATCGCTCAATGCAACACCTAAACAACATCATAGTACCCGAATGGAATCATGTAATAAACTTGAAATATTTACTTCGAATTAAACAGAATTTCTCAATATGAAAAATATTTAAATAGAATGAGTTTATATAAAATTATCATTAGAAACATTATAAAGAAAATATATAGTGATAA